GCGACCCCAAAGAAACTGTTCTAAGCTATTGTCTGTACATTCTGAAATAGACATCATCAGAGCAAGATTGCATACTTTATGAAATAGAGCAAAATATACTAAACCAAGAGAAATTAACATTGGAGGATGATATGCTATTTTAATTATTTGCGTCAGGAAAAAGAGACATCACCGATTCCACCTCCGGTTCGTGATGTCACGTCAATCCGCTGTAACATGCAGAGTTAGTTTGAGGTGGAAACCAGATCATGGGGTGCCCAGTTAAGATCTCGAAGTTTGGTATATATACCACTTTTTAGGGATTTACTAAAGAATGTTCTTGATCCGTTAGCTTGAATTTGGTTGTGATGATGATAGCTTGCTTTGATGATGTTCGTCATACGACGGACGAAAGCTTAGCACCTTTTCACCGGAATCGAAGAGATTGTCTCGAAAACAGCTTCAACAAGAATGTTCTAGTAGAGCCAATCGACAGCTGGTCAAGAGGAATCTGTGGTCGTCTTCTGGTGGAACCGACCTTGGAATCTCTTCACGCAACACTTTCACTCTAAATGGAAGTAACTGCAACAACTCGCTCTGTACCTCATTCAACTGCATGAGGCTGAAACATAGTTTGCTCACATTAGCTTGACGTTAGACTGGCATAGTTGGGAGAATGAGATTGTCATTCAGAAGTTATGAGAGACGAAAGTTCACCAACTTTTCCGGAAGTCTGGTAGAAGTTGTCTCCATTGCTGCGTCATCCAGACGATCGTGAACACTTTCATTTAACATGAAAGTGTGTCTGACGATGCAATTCGTGGGCTTATTTAATCAGCCGTTTGGCGTTAATGCGGCATCTTTCGCATTTACGTTGACACAATTCATGAAACATCCTTCCTCGTTGCTCGGTGAAGACGGACTGGGCTTTCGTCCGTCATGCCACATGACGAGCATCGTCAGAGCTGTGACTCATTCTTGCAGAGGCCTCACCTTAACACCAAGTCAAGAATGTGAGATGTACTCACCCCATTTCGTTTAATGCTATGAGTAAACCTTACGTTTCCATGGCATTTCGCATAGCGTTGTCTTCCCCAAAGGTATGAATTGCAGTTTCCTCCTCATCTACTCAAAACGGAATAAATAAGTAGTGTCGTCGATTGCTATAGCAAAAAAAACTCTATTTAATCGACACTCGCGCCACAGAGCGTGGCTTGGGAAAATTCCTGACAGTCCTTAAAATTCACATCTGCTCTGTGCTCCAAGTGCACTCGTGGCAATGTGGCGTAGTGGTTAAAGGGCTGATATGATATGCTGCACTCGAATGGTTCGAGTCCCGCTGCGTGTGTTGATAGGATCGAAGCGATGTGGAAACTGCAGTCCACTTCAGTTGGGATGAGAGCAAATTTTGTGAAAGCTCTACTCACATCATTGTGGCAAAATTATGCCACCAGTCCTTCATCACTTCAAACGAAATTGGGTCAATTCATCTCATACTACTGATTTACTGGTAGTCTCGGAACTCTACTTATATACGAAAAACAAAGTCGCTTTTTCCAACATGTAGTCATAACGAGAGAAATTACGATATTGCTGGATATAAAATGATTTGATTAACTTACTTGTACT